GTGCTCTTTATTCTTTTAAGGCTGGTGATCTAACTGAACGGCTTTTTGGTACTCTTTTGCCTTGCCATTCATATCAGGTGACCTGTGATTTCATGGTTCTGTAAAGTTTGGGATGTGCTTTCTTTTTTTGTTTCGTTGTCTTTGATGTTCCAATTACTTAAATCTTATGATTTTCATTCAAGGTGATTCACATAAACCAACAGTTTATTGAGTTATCAGATTGCATAAAGTGATGCTTGTAATATTTGCATCAGAGAAAGTTTTGCTTGTACAGTATCAACCCTTGCCATTAAGAATTATCAAAATGCAACTATCATGATGAGTGTGATATGAACTTGAGCTGTGGCTTGCTCAGCTAGATATTCTTTGCAGAACTGCCTCCAGTTTGATAGTCTGATCAGGAAGTGAAATGTGTTGTGATGTATGAACCTCATTGGTCAGGACAAAGTGTTGAGTTGTTAAGAAAACAAATTTTATCATATCAATTCTTGATTCAATAACATGTTTCAAAATCAGCAAGACTAACAGCTTTTAAATGTAATGTTTTGGAAACACTAATTAGAAGAAAAAGAAGCAAAACACGTTTTCTTTCCTTAGTTTGGTACCTTATGCTGTCTAAGTATGTACATGGTTCTTCTGTTTGGTGAACCTATTAATGTAGAAATCATCAAAGATCATCAGTAATATGTCAGGAGCTTGACTTTCGGGGAGTGTTTGTCTGTTCTTTTCTTCTGAAAGTGTTTGTCTGTTCTTTTCTTTTTTAGCTGATGTATCATGAATAAAAACTTTGATGAACCTTTTGCAACTGCTAGGTAATGTTACTAAAAATTTTGCTTGTTGAACCAACCGTCCATGAATTTGTAAAGGTGGGCTTACTTATCTGTCTAAGGTGAAATTAAATGTGCATTATAGCTCATTGTTTGAATTGCTGTGGATTTTGGTGCTTAGATAACATTGAAATGTCCTTGTTACTTTTCGCCATTTCATCAGCATCTACCTAATATCTCATTTTCTTGCAGCTCCCTTCTTCTTGTAGAGACGAAATATCCATCAAGCTTGGGCCAAAGAAGTGGCCACAGGAAGTGTTATCTTCTTTATCTGGGGTAAGTTTCAATAGCATATTATCATTAAGCTGTTGACTGGCTATACTTAATCTTTAAGATTGTCCTATCTCCTGAGTCCCATTTCCTGATGCTGTTGGACACATGAATAAGCTAAACTCACTCAACTTATTATTCCAGCAAATATTACAGATCTCTATATTCTTATTACTACTTTTATTTACACTGCATAGAACTTGTTTAATATTCTTGTATGTAGGTGCTCTCATTTTAGAAAACTGACTTATTATACTTTCCACGTTGTTCTTCTGGTAGCTAGACTGTTTTGAATTGGAGGTTATTAGTTGATCGTTTACTTCTTGTCAGCATTCTTGCACTCTAGAATTTGATGGTTCTTCAAAAGGAAATCCTGGGCAATCTGGTGCGGGAGTTGTGCTTCGAGCTGCTGATGGAAGTTGGGTAAACATCTTGCTCTATTTCAAGCATTTGGCTTCTTGATTCATGCACGCGCCTTACCTTTTCCTCTAAAGATTTGTAGGTTGCGTGAAGGTCTGGGCATAGAAACCGCTTATGCTTCTCAATATCAAGCTATAATTTTAGGGCTGCAATATGCACTGGATAAAGGGTTTAGAAGCATCCATGTTCAGGGTGACTCTGACCTTGTTTGCATGCAGGTTTGTCACACCCATGGGCATATGCTTTGGATCCGCTTTTTCCCCATTCACTCTGCAATTATTCATTTGGTGCTGACCTGCTTGGCTCTCTTCTTGTTAAATTTCTCAATTTCATATGACTTTGTTTCCTTTCTTCCATTTTCCATGTGGTCCATTTTTTGCTGCATCGTGGTTCAAAAATCTGGTTTGAAGTTCCATTCCACCAATGGTTCAAAGCAAAGAACCTTAAATTGGTAATGTCTAGAGGGTGAGTAGCATATATTTACACCAATGTTCTATGTGTCCATCTTCAGTCATGAGCTAAGGAAGGATTTAGTTTGCTCCACTCACTTGCATAAGGCTAAAGCATTGTTCTGAAAACACATTAGACTATAATGGGTCTATGCCATATTATTTGCATCTTATCAAATTCATTTTTATTCAGTTAGGCAAGTAATCCCCTGGATAAGTTTGTTTACCTTCCAATCATTTAGCACACCTTTTTCCACATTTTCTTTTCTTCCTCTTTTTCGTAATTTAATCTATAGAATCTCTTAATTATTTTCAGGAATAAGTTTGTCTGGACATAGAGCTAGTACGCACCTCGGGTCATTTGCCAGAATAGGGCTCCTGGCATCGTATTCAATAATCTATCAATGTGACCCCCTTTTTTTTTGACCATTTTTTCATGTATATACCAGGCTATGTTTCTCCCTGTAAAAATTGCTGTAAATAGAGCTGTTCTTTTAAATGTTTCATGTGGTAGACTGGTAATTTACTGATAAAAAGTTAGAAAAGTATTCTATTATAGTAGGTATAAGAGCTTGAAACATTATACTTGTGTGTAATGGGGCTGGTTATTTTGGTTTATTTCCTTTATGGGGCATTTAGGAATATGACTTTTGCTGCATGGTAGTATCTTGTTCCTAGAATAATAGTACACGGATTCGTTCTCGATTTATCTGCTCCAAAAGTTCATATTTCGACGAAATAGATTCAAGGCTTATGGAAGGTGAAAGACAAAAAGATCTCCATCTTGTGTGAGAAGGCAAAAAGTTTGAAGCATAAGTTCACGTCATTCCGGATCATTCATGTGCAAAAGGTAAGTTCATTAAGTCCGGTCTCCCTATTCCATCTCTCTCGTTTGCCATGCTAAGATTGGTAGATAAGCTTAGCTTAACTTCGAGCTATAGGTTTGGCATTTAACAACGATTCTCTTTATCTGTCCGCTAGAGAGGCAAAAAAAAAAAAAAAAAAAACCGTAATATACCTTGGCCTGATATCTGGTTTATAATTTTGAAGGACTTGAACTCTGAGGCTGATAAACAGGCAAAGTTGGCTGTTAAGCTCGCTGGTTTGTCCTTCCTGCTTTGGCTTGCATCTGCATCTAGCATTGCAGATTGATCTCATTTACTTTGATTTATGTTGCTGCAGATGGTCAAATTCAAGGGGAAATTCAAAAGACAGCTTATGTCAAAGGCAATGTGCTGTGAAGAATATCACAAGAAACATAGCATGGCACGCAAGCCATCTGTGCGTTTTATCTTGGGTGTCAAATTGATTCCTGCAACGATTTAACCTACTATGTTCCACATATTAGATTAGGGCTTCCACATATTAGATTAGGGCTGGGAGGTTGGTCAGTTCATACCCTGGTGTAAGGTTGTAAGCGAGGGTTTTAGATATCAGTGTAGCACCTATCTCATTACACTTTCCTCCCGACCGAAGATGTAAGTTTTAGTGCAAGTACACTAGTTACAGAGTGCAGAAGGGGACAAGGATTAATGCCTCGGCTAATCCAACATCTTCTTGCACCGATCTCATTTTCTGGGAAGGCAGCGAATCAATTCTTGCTCCCTGTTGTAATTTCTCATTTGAGTATCGGAGCAAGAATGTAGTAATAAAATTTTTACTTTGAAACTTACATCTCATAGCAATTTTCTCTTTCATGTTTTAGATGTACTTGGAGTTTAACAGAGCTTTTTCCTGGATGAAAATGGAGGATGAGGATAAACAGAGAAAATTTTAGAATCTGAGCGGATGGGAGGAAGATTTCCATAGGCTTAATTATAGATTTGTCCCCCACAATTCGGAGTCGACAGCAATTCTTTTTTTATTTTTTTTATTTAAAGTCTTTTTTAGCAAGGAAGGTGTGATTTTAGAATTAGGGAGGAAGAAAGGGGATTTGAATCTAATACCTATTATTAATCATTATCATTTATACATTTAACCAATGAACAACACTTTTCTCACTCCACATTTGATTTACTATTCTATTGGACAAATACGATCATGTAATTATATATTTTTTCTTATTAAGTTTCACTTATTTTTTTTCTTTTCTTATTTCTTTCTTCTTTGTAATTTTCTTCTTCATTTTTTAATGCCACCGTTGTCTCTTATTTTTCCCCTTTGATACGTGAATGTTTCAAAATAAAATTATGATTTGTTAACTTATTCTATCATTCTTAGTGTAATTTACGTAATTTTTTATTTTTACTAACAATTAAATGCATCATGAGCGTTTTAACCTCCGTGAACTGTGAGCTCTTTTCATGTTTAAAATGTCTAATTTCTTAATTTATCATGCTTCAAAATGTTAGACATATATGTTATGTTGATTTAGTTGATTAAATGGAATTTTCTATTATTTTGAATGTGTTATAGTAATATCTTCTATAAGATATATATATATATATATCTATATAAGCACCAAAATTTTTTTTATCACATTCTTATTGAATTTGGTATGAATCCGGACAAATTGAACTTGCCTCAAAACCACGCTGGTTAACTAATAAGTAACTCAATATGAACTCAATAAATAGTTAGTTCAGTTAAATTACAAAAATAAAATCAATAACCTCAAATACCAAGGACTATTTGTTTTGAGGGAATGGGAGAGAAACAAAAAGAAGGGATAAAGTTTTTGATGTTTGAAATGATCTTTACAGAGAGAAAGAAAAAGATTGGAAAAGAAATGGTGGGATAAAGGTTTGATTTTTTTTTTTCTTTTCTGTTAGCCTGCTTTCCATCCAAAAGTGACCAGAAAGAGGGGTAGGATATCAAAATTAATAAAAATTTTAAAATTTTCTAAAATTATGGAGAGAAAAATAACTAAATGGATGATAGTTTCCTTTCACTCACTTTACTCTTCTTTCTTTTCTCTTCCGTTCTTCTTTCCTTTCTTCCAATTCCTTCCATCCAAACGCTGCCTAAATACAAATGCCTAAAACCCAGCACGGCAGCACACACTCACGGGCACGCACTAAAAACACACACCAGAATCCCGCCACTGCCAGCGCCAGGGAGCAATGGAGTCACCAGTACAGCTCGCGTTAGCAGCTCTATTGGGAGCCTCGGTCATGGCTATCTCCGCTTTCTACATTCATAAACGCAGTGTCGACCAAGTCCTCGACCGTCTTATTAAGCTCCGCCGCAAACATCTGCCCTCCTCCACCCTCAGAAACCACTACAACTGCCATATCGTCTCCGACGCCGATGAAGAAGATGCTGATTACTCGGCTGCTGCATATAGTGAGGAATGCATTAATAGAGGTAGGCGGGATAAGTTATCGACATCATTTGACAATATCGATGGAATTATTGGGGATGGTGTGGAGGAGGAGGAAAAAGCGCGGGTTGGACTTTATAGAGTTTGGTCGTCGATGCCGAATGTGAGAACATCCAATGAGTGGATTGATGAGGAGGAGAAGAAAGCTTTGTCAAATTTATTGGATCATAATCTTGATATTATTTCATCTGACTTGCCTCCTCTTCGAACTCAGCAGAGAGATGGTATTTTTTCTGCATTTACAAATCAAAATAGTTTCTTCCTCTTTTTAGTGTAAGTTTATGAATTAGAAATGCGTTTATGTCAGTATTTTTTTGTTGTATGCTTGGTTAATTAACTGTGCATAGAATGTGGATAGGCTATCTTGAACTAATCCTGAGATAATCAATATTTTAACCTTTAAACCTATATTTGACTTTAGATCAGCGAAAGTTAATCATCATGGAATCAAAGATGGCTGAATTATCCAATCACAAATTGTAAGTCAGAGATGATTTGTATGTGAGGGGTTATTTCGTTAAATTTTAAAATCTTTAACTGAAAGTTAAATAAATTGGTAGTTTTATCGATTTTGCTGGAAGTTTTAATGATTTTGCCACCTGTAACTCCTAAACTCCGCTGCCATTACTATGACATGTATTTCATTCTTTTCAACATGGAGATAGTATTGATAATAGTTTTGATCACGAGAGCTCTGAACGAAAAGATGAGGATAGGAGGATATGCTAAGTAAAATGGTGAATCTTTACTAATGCAGTACAATTTTGAGGACCGAAAGCATTTTGGTTGTTTTCTGAGGGACCTGAAACAGCAGATGAGGAGCTTGATGATAGGGTTCTTTGATTAATTGATTCTGTTGTCCCTGGTCTGATGTTGATTTTTGAAGATGACAAAAATCTATGTTAACAGAAAAATATATAACAAAAGATCACTTCAAGTATCTCATTTTCTCTTTAGCAGGAGATGATCAATATGTTGACCACTTGGGCCCACAGCTTATGGTAGGATCAATTGGTCGTTTAGTTACTCCAAGATCATCTGCTGGTTATACTGTTGATAGTGCAGGAGATTCTGATGAGGAAGAAACTGAGCGTACAACTATGGGTGCCACTCTTTTGTCTTACAACAAGGTAAGAGTTGTGTAATTTTTATTTCTAAAGAGTTGTGACGTGTACAGTTGATGGCTTTGACCAAGAGAAAGTCTTTTTGATCATTTAAAACATCTTCAAGCATAGCTCTAACAAAATTTTTCATCAACATGTTCTGGTCTATTTCAATAGCCTTTAGAGTTAAAGAAAAATGAACACCTCTCTACCCAAATATTGATATTCAGTTCTGGTGTTTAATTATTTTTTTATACTTTTGGGAAAATGCTTTGTGTTTCCTGGCCCTTTTTTGTGAGATAATGCTTCATACTTTTGATACTTTTGCAACAATTTAAGTATAAGAGTCATCAATGCTATTGAAAATTCTGGACCAAACCAAAATATGCTTGTCAGGTTAATACCTCAATTGTGATTAGTTTAGGTTTTTATGCATTGCTCTTGCTGATTGAAAAAAGTAACGTTGGAATTTGTAAAGGGCTTAGGAGTTATGAAGGTAATGGCTTCTTGCTGGTTTTAAGTATATCATTTACTATCTACCTTATGTAATCTGCAGCTGTTTTGGAGATGCAATCGTGTAACTTGTCTAATGAGAATTTGCTGATTTAGTCACTTCTTCTGTTCTCATTTGCAGGAGTAAAAGGACTTTATTTGTTGACAACATATTTGTCTTTCCCATTAAAATATCCCCATATCAATTTGCCATCTGTCATCTTGTATTTCTTTATCAAATGGCATAGATAAGCATTTGTAGAAATGTTTCCTTGCCTGAGCCTGAAGCCAGGTTACATTTTTGGGTAATTCTAGAGGAATTAAAGGGAAAAATTTTAGTGGTAAAGTTACTAGTGCGTTTTTCATCAATTCATCTGCAGGAAATAAATATTAATATCCCAAATCTACACATGGCTCCATCAAATGCTGAAAATGCCAACTACATCCAAGCTCAACGATGCAAAGAAATCGCACATGAATCAAAAGCTAATGGAAATGATGAGGATGCAAAGGTTGAAAAGGCTTCAATGCACACAATGAGAAGTTCTTGCACCAGTACTAGCAAATATTTACCTGTGAGGGCTACAGTTCATGGTATTCTCAACTCCTCATCCTGGTAATCTCAAATGTTTTAGTGGCTTTTAGGTGCCCTCCTACTTAACTTGCCACCCTACCAATAATAGTTTGTAGACGGCATTATGTCTTTTCACTAAAATAGTGGTAGTTTTAGTTTTTGCTAAGAAATCTAATTGTATAGTAGGATTGTGTTTGTCAATGGGGTTTTAAGTTCCATATTCTTTCTCTGATGCTTGCTAAAAATATGAAATTCAGAATCACTGAACATTGAAGAGGAAGAAGTACTGAAGATGATTCGGGAATGTTTAGATTTGAGGGAAAAATATGTTTTCAGGGAAAAAGTTCCTCCATGGACTAAAGTAGTCCAGGAATCTGCCACATCAGATGTAAAACAGAATCCATTTAACTCTGCTCCCGTTGAAGCCACTGCAGTGAGTCATATCGCTTTATGTGTTAATTGTCATTGGGCTTTTAGGTTATGCATCTAGAGTTACATGGATGAAACCATTTGTTTTTGCTCAAACTCGATAACTTTTGACTGATGTTCTGTTTCTATTTGAGATCAGCACCACTTTAAAATGGAAGATGGAGTTGTACATGTCTATGCCAATGAAAGTGGTAAGTTGAGGCTGCAATGGAGAATAGTGATGATTGAAGACAACAATTATGAAGAAATTTTGTTGATTACTTTTTTTTTTTGGCGTCTTGCATGATGACATCTAATAAATCTTCTAAATGTGCCGAACTCTCTAGATACTGAAGACCTTTTCCCTGTTGCAAATGCAACATCATTTTTCACTGATATGCATCATATCTTGAAAGTGATGTCTGTTGGAAATGTTCGCTCTGCATGCCATCATCGATTGCGGTTCCTTGAGGAGGTAGCGGAATCTCTGGTCTCTTCATCTGTATTCCCATGCCCAGCACCTTTCGTATTGTCTCCTGCTTGTGCTCAGCTGTTGTATCCTGTTTGTTCCTGACTTCTGAATGTTTTACAGAAATTCCGTCTTCACCTACTAGTAAATGCTGATAGGGAATTTCTGGCTCAAAAGAGTGCTCCTCATCGTGATCTATATAATATCAGAAAAGTTGATACTCATGTACATCATTCTGCTTGTATGAACCAGAAGCATCTTCTCCGGTTCATCAAATCAAAATTAAAAAAAGAACCAGATGAGGTAGAGCATAAGTTTCCCTGTGCATTTAGTTTCTTTGTGCATTCTTTCAGTATGGTTTCTTCAATTGAACAACTTTTTTGTGTCAGGGCTTTTATTGCAAATGCACTTTCCGTGTATCTGTTTGATGATCTCTAATCATACAATTGCCTATTGTTATACAGGTTGTCATATTCCGTGACAGGGTCTTTGAGAGTTTGGACTTGACAGGGTCTGCCTAAATTTTGAATATTAATGCCAGATTTTTTTTCCTTTACTGCATTTTACACAGGTTTGTTCTGCAGGTATGACCTTAACGTTGATTTGCTAGATGTGCATGCTGATAAGAGTACCTTCCATCGCTTTGACAAATTCAATCTCAAGTATAATCCTTGCGGGCAAAGCAGACTCAGGGAGATCTTTCTAAAGCAGGACAATCTCATCCAAGGTGTGATATACGAGGACCTTTCTTTGGCTGGATTAGGATTGCTCTTGTAAAACAAATGCTGCTGTGGTTTCCTAAAAATGATACGAAACTTTAATGGCCATGTCAAAATCATTGTACATAATTGAAATGACTGTTGTTGGTTATCCATATATGTAGTTTGATTCCTTCTATATTTTTTCATTTCAATATTTTTTCTTGAAGCTTTTTATCATTTAAGAGTGAGGGAGTAATGCCTGGAGACCTCTGGAGCTTCAGACAGAAATATAAATTCTTGTGCAGTGCCTAGCTAGATGATGCTTCTCTTTTGCAAGAAAAGAAAAACTTGAAGAATTTATTGCCTAGCACTTTAGTTCCTCACAACTGTCTAACCTCCTTCAGGCATGTATTATTGAATGTGCCACTCTGATTTGAGAACTAGTTACAAGATTATTCTAGGGTTTTATCATTTTGTGATGTCAGGGCGTTTTCTGGCTGAAGTAACAAAGGAAGTGTTATCGGATCTTGAAGCTAGTAAATACCAGGTAGAGCCATCTAATCTTTCAACATTCGCATACATCAGGACTTTTGCATCTGTTGTTCTTATGTGGTGTATAGGAGTTTTCTCTTTTGAAATTTCTAAAGCTTCACCACCATAAATCTGATATCTTTTCCCTTGGTTTTTTGGGCTTTTAGCTAAACATGTGTACGGGAAAAACAATAGTTCTCATTTCTATTTGGATTGGATTATATGATAATTCCCTTGCGCCTTGTTCGTATGGTTGAGCTATGGAAAGGCATTCCTCTTCTGCCTAATGGAGGGTGCAACGTTAAATTTCTCTTTTTTTGTTTGTCTATTCCTTTTCAGATGGCTGAGTACCGAATTTCAATCTATGGAAGGAAACAAAGTGAATGGGATCAGCTTGCAAGTTGGTTTGTTAACAATGCACTATATAGTGAAAATGCTGTGTGGTTAATTCAGGTATTGTGATGTTCCTCTGATGTGCTTCTAGTCCTTCATTGGCATTGTAGCTTCATGTCGTTGATGTTCTTAACTTGACAGGGTTTCTAATTTTGTTTGCTTGAAGAGGAAGCTTTATGTGTAATTGAGCTGTTTGTAGTTGCAAAACTAGAATTACATGGAATGATCTACAGGATTAGTGGGATCACCTGAAACCTTCAATTATATAATTCATAGCACAGGAAATAACTGAACAAGTTCTTAATCATTCTTAACAAGCCTGCTCTGGTTTTATCATGGTGCTTTCCTTCGGACAGAACATAGTTCGATTTGCAATTCATTTGTGAGAAATTACTTAGAAATAGTTGTCTACTATTCATGTTGCTTCCATTCATGTAAGTTTTTTATCAGTGTATATTTTCTCAAGTTTTTGGGCCTTGTTTCTTTTGGTTGACAAATTTCTAAGTGCACTATTTGCAGCTTCCACGGCTGTACAACATCTACCGGAGTATGGGCACTGTTACATCCTTCCAGACCATATTAGATAACGTATTCATACCACTTTTTGAAGTTACTGTCGACCCACGTTCTCACCCTCATTTACATCTGTTCCTAATGCAGGTCCTCACTCACTCCTAAAAATGTGGCATAGTTTTCATCTCTTTGTGCTGATACTTCCAACATTTCTTTAAACGATCTTCATGTTTGGTCAACGTTTATTGTTGATATATTATCCTTTTCTTTCCTCTCTTGTACAAATGCCTAATGTTCTTTCTTGGCCCAGGTTGTAGGATTTGACATTGTAGATGATGAAAGTAAACCAGAGAGGCGCCCGACCAAACACATGCCTAAGCCAGCTGAATGGACTAATGAATTCAACCCTGCCTTCTCTTATTATGCCTATTACTGCTATGCAAACTTGTATACACTGAATAAGGTGAGAACATTTTTGCTAATGAGTTTATACAGCTCATAGCACTATCTGAACTTCTATCAGCTAGAAGCTAATGAATGATTATTTCATCTCTTATGCGTGTGGTTAATGTAATTGGGTGCTCGTCCAGAAAACATAGCGGAAAAGGGTCAAGTGAGATTATCTTGCAAGAGTGTAAATATTGAGGTGAAGATGTTTATTTCATATGCCAAAATGGCACCTAAAACCTAATACACTATTGCAAAAGTCAGAGTCAATTGAAGCTGATAGTAGATTGGTCTCTTTCTTTCTAGAATATGTATAACCATCTTCAAATACCTTCCTCATATTGTTTTTCATCTCTCTCTCTCTCTCTCTCTCAGAGAGGAATGGAGCATAACTTTTGCTTCATTGACGACATATTTGTCTTAAGTTTAAGCTTATCATGTCTTCTTCATTTTCAGCTTCGGGAATCGAAAGGACTGCCGACAATTAGGTTCCGCCCTCACTGTGGGGAGGTTGTTTTCTTATTTCCCATAATCCTATCCTATCTTTACCTGCTACAAGATTTGTGATTTGCTATTTAAATGTGTATATTTTCACAGGCAGGTGAGATAGACCATTTAGCTGCTGGGTTTCTTTTATGCCACAATATTTCTCATGGGATCAATTTGAGGAAATCGCCTGTCCTGCAGTACCTGTACTACCTTGCGCAGGTGTGTCACATGCTAGGATTGCACAATTATGTAGTCTCCATGCACAAAAGGCCATGTCTAGAAAGCATAATCAGTTTTCTAGATTGCAGACAAAGTTGCTTTGCAATTTTCTTTAAAACGGGTTCACCCTATGCTATCTAGATATCTCTAGTGTTTTGATAGGAAGAGTAAAACCCATACTACCTTTATTTAGTTAATTTGTCATGTGAATGGTGTAATGTAGTTTGCTACTCATGATTTTTGCAGATTGGTTTGGCAATGTCTCCACTTAGCAATAATTCACTTTTCCTTGACTATCATCGCAACCCATTTCCTGTGTTCTTCCAGCGAGGTTTAAATGTCTTCGTTTGTCTGTCGGGCCCTGATCGAACTCGCCAAGTTGATGGAAGAAAACGAGAGAATCATAGAACAAAACGAAAAAGAAGAAGAAGAAGAAGTATTAGTACAACAACAACAAGAAGTGTGGAGTTGGGGCGCAGGTACAGAAGGACAACTGGGAACTGGAAAACTCCAAGATGAACAAAATCCTCAGTTACTCAATTCCCTCTCTTCTTTTGCGGGGCCCATCTCTCTCCTCTCCTGTGGCGGCGCCCATGTCATTGCTCTCACCCCTGGTTTGTATACATAACATTTTCACATTTTCTCTTTTTTGGGTTCAATAAAAATTAAATCTTTTTTATGGAATTTATAGGTGGAAGCGTGTTGACATGGGGGAGGGGTACTTCGGGGCAATTGGGTCATGGGGAGATGGTTAATGTTTTACAGCCCAAGGCTGTAGAGTCTTTGGAAGGCTTTGTCATCACTCACGTTTCGGCTGGTTGGAATCACTCGGGATTTGTTTCAGGTTTTTAGACTTTTTTCTCATTCATGCCTTCAATTCAATTGAATTAGTACTTGAATACTATAATCTTAAAGTTCGAATTTTGGACTTATTTAGTTAAATCAAAATGCTGGATTTCATGTCATAAGCTCAAGTGCCTTTATGGAATGGACTATAATCTCTTGGTTTGGCTTGCTTTTCTCCGAACTTGTCAAAATTACCTTTCAGCTGAATGTTGAGCTTTCAGATTCTCTAGCATGTGTTTCATGCCTGATTATGTCAACTGAAAACCTTTTTTTTTTCCCGCTAATCCGGAACTATTTTCAATCGTGATTCCATCATCAGCTATAGCAATTCTATGTATTTAACTTTATTAGCTGACGTTCAAGAAAGGTCCCTGAAAATTTGCAAATTCATTTGGTGTGGTCATTTGTATAGTTGCCTTCCATTGTCTTGCTTTTGGTGAAATTCCGTAATAAATTTCAGACAAGGGTTACCTTTTCACTTGTGGAGATGGCTCATTTCCTGCTATTACTAATAAGACGAAGAAGAAGGCTAAATCTCCGCCGTCCGATCCTCAAGGAATGTTCTCCGGGATGGTTGTTCACTTAATCGAAAGCGGAGTTCAGGCCCGTCGGTTACAGGTTGGTTTTTCTATTACTCTCCGCTCGTTAAAATTTTTTCCGTGAAAAAGACTCCTACTTTAGATGAATTTGGGATTTGAAATTTCTTTTTTTTTTTGTGGCCTTTGGTGTCATCTTATGAAGATTTGGAAGCACAGATTAGAGCAATTGGGGGCGAAAATAGAGGTTGATTTCTCGAAAAATGTTACGCATGTGTTTGCTTTAAACTTAGATACATTGATTCAAAAAGTTGATCTTGAACTCGTAAAGCGCTTGAAAACGGTGAGTAATAGGATTTTGTGTTCATCATCGATGTATTATGCTAATTTTGTTGGTACATTTTTTTTCTTGCGTAATTTGATTGGTAGAGATCAAGTCTAACTATTCTGTTTTTGTTATTGTTTAGCAATCTTTTTGTTGTCTTTAGATTTAATTTCAGTTTCTTTTCTAGCTCTTTAAAGGCCTAATTTAAGTGGTATGAAGCTCAATTAAAGTTTACTGGGAAAAAAGAAGCTTTTTTAAGGATTTTATGATACGCTATCACTCGTTTTTTCTTATATTTTGGTGGTTTGAATGCAGCTAGCTACTTGGCTTAGAAATTAATCTCTGAAGAGTGACTTGTAATTTTATTTGATTGAAGAACATATTTGGAAAATTTTAGGAACTTTGGTTATTTCTTGCTACTTTTGTTCAGATAGTTCTCAGTTATCAGTGGCTTGAAGACAGCTTGAGAGAAGGAAAAAAAGTACTTGAAGAATCATATATTCTGTCATTGGAGAGAGGAGGAGGTGACAAGATAAGCAACACTGCAGAAGAAACTTTCCCCAAACTCTTGAATGATGTCCATTCTGGTGCTAGTGAAACATTACAGCAAAAAAGGATCAGAATTTCACCAATGGATCTTGCAGATACAAATCTGAAGAACACAGTCAAATTGGAGGAAAATGCAGTACCTGAGTCACCTGATTCTTCAAGTGGTTCATATGGCTCTATGCATTCTTTAAGTCCCGAAATCACTGGCCCATCAATTGATGCTCAACACAAGACTGTAAGTTTTGATTTCAGACATGTCATTTGTCTTATTTGTATAAATCAATGCAGCTTTTATTTCCTGAATTTATCCTTCGGAAGGCAGCAGTGTGGTCTAGAGGAATAATGGTGTAACAGTCAATTCTGTAAGCATCTTTTTGTTGGCCTAAATGTCATTGAATCTTTCTATTATCTTCTGATCAGGTTTTGACTTCAGACTCAGCCTTGCTTTACAGTCCTCCTGATTTAAACAGGAATATAACTGAGATATTTGGGAGGCTTATAAACATATATAGAGGTGAAGACTTTTGGAATTATCATTTTCTATTTTAGGATAATATCTCATCTTTTCATCCTCTGAATGCTTTGTTTCGTTTTACTTGTTCCATGGTAGCTCTTGGTGACGATTGGAGGTCATTTAGCTATCACAAAGCCATTCCTGTGATTGAAAAGCTGCCTTTCAAAATTGAGAGTGTGGAACAGGTTAAACACTTACCTGGTATTGGCAAGTCAATGCAAGATCACGTGAGTAAAGCATCTTTTACTGTAACATGTACAACTACACTTTCTTTGTTTGTGGACAATAAACGCAAGTATTATACCATCTCAAGCTTCTCATTGCTTGTGTAGAATTCTGAGACAGAAAGTCCTGGTTTTTCTATCCCACTTTAAAATTTGGTGGTAAGTTACTAGTTGTATGCAGATAACATGCACGAAGAATTTTTCCATTATATATAAGCTAATTCTGCATCAATTTAAGTAGGCACCTAAACAATGCGTTTCTTTTGTCTGTCTCTGAAAGTCCTGGTGTTTCTATCCCACTTTAGAATTTGGTGGTGAAGTTACTAGTTGTATGCGAATAACATGCACGAAGAATATTTCCTTTTATATAAGCTAATTCTGCACCTATTTAACTAGGCACCTAGACGATGTGTTTCTTTTGTCTGTCTCTGATACTATGTAGATTCTGATTCATTGATTGATAAAAGTGTTGTTATATATCTTTTACAACTGAAATCTCCAATATTAGGTAAGTCTGGCGGGTTGCAGGAGAATTATCACCCGCATATGTTCCTCTACATACCTTGAAAAGACAAGCGTGCTCTCTGATTGCAGATTCAGGAGATAGTGACAACTGGGAAGTTATCCAAGTTGGAGCACTTTGAGACGGATGAAAAGGTATCACAAGCCTCCGTAATTCATCAAATGTCTTTTGATTTATTTCAATAATATTTGGTGATGAGAGATGTTTTGCTTGTGTTATCTTGTTAACTGCATTTTCTGTAATATATAACAGGTTTCTTCTCATATGTTCTTGCAATTTGAGGACTTATAAGATGTTCATTTTCCATGCTGTACAACTGTACATCACATTTTGTGAGTGTGTGGCTTGATGGTTGATTGCAATTTACCATTGTGATACCTGTGAATGACAATCAATCTGATTTACTTGTTTAAGTAAGTTCAATATATAGAATTGGTGAGATTCGGCTACATGAATATTTTCTGTAGATGAGTGCATATCTTACATATCCAGGAGCTAACCCTGTTCTCCATGTCCTCCTACATGATCCGAAACCCTGTAGAGGTTCATGGCAGAGATTTTTTATGCATATGATTATTCGCAAAATGAGGAGCTACTAGCTGATTCTTGTTATCAATTGTAGAGTTGAATTGTTGAGGAAATTTCCAACTCCTAATTTGTTTCATGCAAACTAAAGGGCATTGAGTTTCTTATTTGTTCTTTCTTGTCGATTTTCAGGTAAAGACAATTAGTTTGTTTGGAGAAATATGGGGAATTGGTCCAGCCACTGCTTTGAAGCTTTATGAAAAAGGCCACCGAACTTTGGATGACCTGAAAAATGAGGAGTCATTGACAAATGCACAGAGGTTGGGGTTGAAGTACTTTGATGATATCAGAAAAAGGATTCCAAGGCATGAGGCAAGCTCCCTCCCCCCTCCCCTCCCCCACCCCACAACAAGGAAAATGAAATGAGTCCAATTACATTTATTATATTCTTATGTTCATATAATTGCTGATTCATATGTGACCTACATGAGCCCTGTTTGAATCATGCAGGTTGAAGAGATGGGACATCTTCTAAAGAAAGCTGGAGATGATGTTTTGCCTGGGGTATAGCTTATTTGAATTTCTTTTTTTTTTGCATATGATTTTTAATTAATTATGAAAGAATTTCATTCCTTTTTTTTATGAGATGAATTTTATATGCATTCGTTGTTGGTATTGATTGGTCAAAAGTTTGGGTGGGATAGCCAGCTTGTGAGCTACCAAATTTCTGGAAAATTTACAAAATTGCTTAAGTTCAAGATTACTTTTTGTGAAAGTTAACTTTGAGATTGATTACTGATTGTCCTAGAAACCATCTTTTTTTAAAGCCCTGGATTTTGCTTAGTTTGTTTCAGACATTTCTCACATAAGAGTTTGCATGGTCAAAATGCATCTTAATTGTAGCTGCCAAAGAACAATGCCAGTTAACCAAAGTATCAATGCTAATTTGCAAAACAAATAAGCAAGGTTCTTCTGAATAGCTTCATGAGACATCATGCTATGCTGCAAATGTGTTGGCTTGTTCAGTGGACTTTAGCACAAAAAATTTTGCACCCTCGTAAATCAGTGGACTGGCATTCTTGCATCCTGGAATTAGGTATTGCTACCAAGGTTTGCCTGACTGATGGAATTACGTTTTGCAATCTATTCCCTTTTTTTTTTTGAATATCTACGTGACTTGAGATCTACATTGACAATTTGCAATGGGCAGAGATATATAATTGTGAAGGAATGCAAGATTGTCATGTTGTGCTAATTGGGAAATCTAGATCCTTAACAAGTTAAAATTTTTTCCCAAAAAAAT